AATAATGTAAAGCGTTGTTGGAAGTGATGGCTGGGCTAAAAATGTTGGGAGAGGCAGGGAAAAAATAAGGGAGTGGAGGAAATACAGTACCGGTAGTTCCTTTGAATAGTTAAAAAATACACTACTGTCTTTTACTGGAGGGATTCATCTACAGTAATTCAAAACAAGTACCCCTTCCTTCGCAAGTTGACGAAATTCGAGCTGAGACACATTGATGCTTGTTCTACCTCCTGGTCAAGTCTCAGGATCTATTAGAGCCTGCAGAATTACACTGTACAAGTACAGTTTGTTGCTACAGTGTTTTTGCTGTAATTCCCATTTTCGCATTTTTCAAGCTTCCCCAATCATTATTTCTTCTCACCAATAGCCAACCAAGATTTGTCTCCTCTATGGGGAAGTGCACTTCACTGCACTGTACATAACTTCCCAGGGAGCGCCCTGGAAAAATCGGTCCATAATAACTTACTTGCCCCTGCCGGACAGATCCGCGGGCAGGACACAACATCACGCGCGTTCCATCGGGCTGTATGTTTCTTAAAAACTCGAGCTGGTAATGACTGTGGGAGGCGCGCTGAGGAGAGAAGGCGGAAGAGCGGGAAGGAGAGAGGGAGTGAAAGGGCTTCGTCGCTAACACGCCGCTTTGGACAGTGGGACACGCGTCATGGTTGCCAGAGAGACGAAGAGAGACATCGCGCGCCATATGTGCGTGTCTGTCTGTCTCTGTGTGCGCGCGCGCGTAAGGAGGCGCAGCAGCAGTGGACTGTAGTGGTTTCTTCTGTCCGACTGAGTAGAGAGTACAGTACCGTGCAGTACAGTACAGTATGAGAAGACTGCGTGCGTGCTGGTAGTTCAAATTTTTTCAAAATAAGCAATGGCGGGGAAGATGAAGCGAACGTGTAACAGTACTGTATTGTATCGTAAAGTATCGCAGCCGGTTTTCCCTGGGGAAACGTTTCTGATAGAGCCCACTTTGCTTGGAACCCCTCAGGGTATAGGGGCACTTTTGTTTATTTTCATTTTTTTTAAATGATGACTAACGGGAGTAAGGGATGAACGCATTCTGTGTTTGATATTTCCCCGTCCGCAGTTCGCGTGTGGAAAACGTGCGTTGCAGGTCGTAACGGGGTTTCATTGACTTTTTGACAGGCTGTAAAACGCACTTTGAATGATGTCTGTGTTGGTGTTGTAAAATAGGGGGGGGGGGGGTTTTTCCTGGGTTTTAATTTCTGGCGCAGAAGCTGCGATGTGTTTCAATGGTCAGGAGATAATTTTGTAAAAGAATAAAATATCTCTGGAGCGTGGAATGATTTTTATACTTGAGAAGATACTTGTTGTTGAAGAAAAAGTTATCCTTGTAGTCTGAAATCGTTTTTCTCTAGGGGAAAAATACTCCAATTGCGAAAATATTCTTGTGCAAAATCAATAGGAACTGAGCTTTTTCAACCCAATACGACAACAATTTCTGCTCGCACTGAAAGTTCATTGTTATAAAATTCTCTTTCTCCAATCAAGTTGTCATTTTCACTGTTCTGCATGCAATGCAATGCTTCTTAGAAAATAGCCAATTTGCATGATGAAGAATATTTTTATTTTTTTATCCTCCTTTTGTCTCTTGCTGTTCATTTCCGGCCAGGAATTTCCATTTTCAAACAATCTTATTTAATGGCAAGTCAATCTTCTACCTTGTGGGTCGGCCATGAAACATAGAGGAGTGATCCAATAGGTTGATAGCGGAATTGTGGTTGGCCGCATAATTGAACAGCACCGGAATTATTATTTTTGCATCAATTCATTTTCTGTAGCTGGTGGATTTTTGTACAATATTTTAGAATTAGGTTTTGACAACCATTTGGAGCACTTTACCACTGTAAAAAATGCAGTTGAGATCTTGTTAACCCAAACTTCTGGAGTCAAATAGCTCCCTGTGGAAAATTTTTTTTGAGCGCCTGTTTGGATTTCCTTAGAAAAAATGCATAGAAAATGCAACTCATTACAAAGATGTTTTCTTCAAACCTTCATAACTCGAATTTTCTGGACACGTTTTGGCATTGTATCTTGGTGAGACTGGAAAGAGAACAGCAGTGAAAATTTAACATGATGTGTTTTTAAATGAAGTGAAAAGCTAATTGAGCAAATGAACCCTTGCCTCCAGATTCAGCATCCTGTCAGCTGATTCAAGAAGGAATGCAAGGCCCAGAATCTCATTAATGCAAATTTCCTGTAATTTTTCTTCTCTTTCCCACAACACAAACGCTTGTTAGAAACAATAAATTGGAAAATAACAAATAATTAAAAATTAATAAACATTCGTTATACAGTGAAATCTTTTTTCTTAACAAAAATTTCTTGTGCTCAATTATTTGTGATGATGATTTTCAAAATCGATGACTGGTGAAAGATATTCACATAAAACCTGCCTATAATGAATGGGATCTTGCTTTTCTGGCATTTCCAGAATTTTTCCATCATGTGTGATCTCATGAAAAAAAAAATCAGCTTCAATCATGTATTCCATGATGAATATCTACTTTCTGGGATGATGAACTGTGGAACCACTTGGAAGCATGTTTGTTATTGATTACAGCTTCCATCCATGCTAAGCAAACCAATAATTGACATCACAGATTTCATTCTTTGCCTGCATGTTCCAGGAAATTTATACTTGGAGAGTCCATTAAAAATGCCTCAAAAAAGTTTGTTATATTCTACTGGAATTGAGATTTTTGTTATACTGTAGGAAAATTGTTTTACTGATACGGAATTGAATACTGATACCTGTGTGCAGTACATAAAAATGTTGGCATTTTCTGTAAAAATAACATTCAAGTGAAAAAGAGTAAAGAAAGTCCCTCTATGTTGGAGGTACTTTTTTTTTAAATTAGCTAAATGGATAATAAAGTGGTGAGAGAAATGCCCAAGAAGTTTTCTTACATCAATTTTAGGGTTGGAAATATCTTTTTCTTGTAATTTGGCCTGAAAATTTCATCACAAAAATGTCCCTATGTTGAGTCAGTGTCCTCATGTTGAGCCTTTTTTATTGATGTTTTCATGAGAAAATAAGTGTCCCTATCTCAAAATGTTTGCAGGTCAATGTGTCTGCATGTGGGGGTCTCACTGTATGCTGACATTGTTTCAAAATGTTCTCTGTGGGCTCTCTGCTGCCAGGAATTGGGGGAAAAATGGTTGTAATGAGATTCCACTGTAAACGCGATTTCTCCTGCGCAATGATATTTTCGCGCGTTTTTTCTCCCCTCTTCCCATTTTCTCCGGCAGCCACACCGTCAGACGCCTTCCGATCACCACCTCATCATTGTCCCGCGCGCGCCGGAATTCTTCCCCCCCGAGTGCGTGTTTCTTCTTTTTTTCTGCCCCTCATCACGCCACCGGTTTCTGACCCCGTGACGTCGTCGCCTTCAATCGGTGCTGCTAAGTGGGTCAGTCTAGTCAAGTCAAGTCAAGTCGGCGAAGGGGTTGATGGCGGCCAAAGTCCGGTCCGCATTCCACGCAGCCGCCCCATCGGGTACTCGGTTGGTCGGTCGGCTGCCGTCGCCGTCGCCGCCGCCGAAAACGAGACCGGCCGAATCTGGTGTCCGGATTCTCGCTCTGCTCTGCTCTGGCTGTTCCTTCTTTCTCCCACCCCGCATTTCCCTTTTCTTCTCTGTCCATGCTCGGGAAAATGGGGTGGAATGGAAGAAGAGGAAGAAGAAGAAGCATTCGTGGCTCGTCTCAGCCATTTCGCGATGACCTCTTCACTTCCGCTCTGATGGTTAAAGGAAGTAAGAGAAAAAAAGAAGAAAGAAAGGAAAAGTAACAGTACGGTTAGTTGTAAGAAGTGGCTGTTCCGCTTGTAGAGAGGCGCGCGAAAGGCTCAGCCACTTTACATGGATAAGAACCTTCGCGTGTACGTTTTTTAAAAATGGTTAATTTTTTATTCAAAAAAAATTTGACAAAACTCAGATGATTTCAAGAAACTAGAGGACCTTGAAATTAAATGCAGTAGTGATGCTTAATTTTGTTGAGCCTCGCAAACTGCTGAAATGATTTGTCAAATAACAGGTCAATAAGTGAGATCAGATTTGCACTTGATCTTCTGACAATGCAGGGTTGGGAATGAATGAACGAACAGAAAGCTTCTTTTTCCGCTTTTCAGCATTGACAAAGCTCAATCAACATTCCCACATCCAAAACCAAATCCATTCAAACACATTCAATCACTTCAGAATGGGAAACACAGAGAAAAGCTGCATATGGATGCCAAAATAAAAGAATATTACATTCCACGCTGTACAACTGCGCCACTGATGTGTATGAATACACCCCCTTCTTTCCCTGACATTGAAAACAAAATATCAGTAAGAAGAATTGCAGCATAAGCCAGAATTATAGCAATTGCAGCAGTTGCTGAACCCAATTTAAAACACAAGGTCTTCAGCCTGTTACCAGATACAGTTTAGTTGAATGAAAAATTCAGAGAGAATCTTTGATGATAAATCATATAAGGCCAACAGTTCATCTTGATCCTCTATGATTTCAGAAAGGGTTGGTAAAATATGAACTTGATAATGACATCAGAAGTATCCACTATGTGAAAAGTTGTTCATAAATTGAAGAAAGAGGGTTTCCATATTTTTTTTCATGACACAAATCAGAGGGGGAAAATGTACATGATCTACTTTAAATCAGTTTCCATTGTCTGTGGGCTGTCTTCTACAATATTTCAATTCGCTATGTTTTTTCTCTTAAAAAAATAGTTGGAAAAAATTTTGAAGTCCTGCTACACCAAAGTTGTTCATAAATTGAAGAAAGGGGGTTTCCATATTTTTTCATGACACAAATCAGGGGGGAAAATGTACATAATGTTTTGTAAATCAGTTTCCATGATCTTTGGACTGTCTTCTATACAATATTTTAATTTGCTATGTTTTTTCTCTTAAAAAAATAGTTGAAAACATTTTTGAAGTCCTGCTACACCGGCAAGCTCCGTGTGTGTGTGTGTGTGTATGGTGTGGGTAAAGTTGCTGGACTCCCTTGGAGAGAAAGATAGAGAAGCTATCATCGGCCCGCGTGTTTTAATGGACATGCGATGACCGAGAATGCAACAGGATGTTGAGTCTTCTTCATCTGGTCGCCTGAAGAAGAACTTCTGTGGAATCTCTCTCTCTCTTTCTTCCTCTCTCTCTTCTCTATTTAGCTTTCTCTTCATCACTTCTTTTCAAAAGACTTGAAAAAAATGAAATAGCAGTTGAGCGAAAAAAAGAACGTCATGCGTCATTTTGGCGACCGGAAAAATAAAATCCCACGGGGTTCCTGTTGAAATACTGTGCATTTAAAGCATTCCTTTGTCGATTTTTTTTGTAAAAATTCCTGTTTGATTTCTCTTGGAGATAATGAAATTAAAAAAACCTCCAGAACTAGAATTTTTCTGGAGGCCTTCCGAATAATATTTTATTGACACAGGAAATGGAAAAAAGCTATAAAAATTTAATTTCATGTGCTGAAAGAAAAAAGAAGTGAAAAAACAGATTGAGCAAATAAACTTTTTCCTCCAAAGTTGGCCTATTTAACAAGAAATTCAATGCCTAGAATGGCAATATCCTGTAATTTCATTTTTCTTTTCTCAAACACAAATATTTATTTCTCTAACTCGGAAACTCCCTAACTCGAAAATTTTTGCTGGCTCTATTGCAATTTTGTATCATTATTTTTTGAACGGTTGCAAAAAGACGAGACAATGGAGTCTGTTTGAAATTGTTTAAAGATTTCGGATTTAACCTGATTTTTTCAAAAGCGATTTTCCGTTCGGTTTTGTATTTATTTTCATCTTGAAGCTTTGCAGTCTCGGATTTCTTCCCGCCGGCACCGATATTTTTTGACCCGCCGTGATCGAGTCATTTCTCCTGACCTAAATCCGCGAGCATTCGAATCTTGAAGGGAAAGGACGAATGCAAATGCGAAGAAAGAAGAATGAATAAACGCTGCGAAGGATGAAGTGACTGATCTTGATTTGAAAACTTTTTTTTTAATTTTTCAAATTTGGAATGTAAACATTAGCGAGGCAAGAGGGAAGAAAAAAAAACCACATCTTTTGAGCTTTGGAAAAACTCTTCTGCATTTTGAAGAATAATACGTTAAAAAAAGTGTTTTGGAGTTTTACTGTTTTGTTGGTTCATTGAAAAATTATTGATTTTTATGAAAGTACGATTTTACGCGAGAGAAGCTTGAAAAACGAAGAGAAAAAACTGTGCAATCATCACTTTTACGCATACGACAGTCGACAGTTTTAATCACAAAAAAATTGGCTGAAATTCAAGTATTCTTTTCAACGTCTATCAAAGCAAGAAAAATGAATTACGGTGTGAAAATATGAATTAATTTCATCGTACCTTTTTCTCTTTCTGAAAACGTTACTTTCGAGCGTTGAAAAACCCTCGAACAGTATTTTTGGACTATCATTGTTTATTCTGAAGTCTGATTTTCATCTTCCAGTTTTCTCGAAAGTGACACGAGGTTCAAGTTATTTAAATGGGTTTGTTTCTATCCTGGAAAACTTAATTTTAGCTCTAAATTTTACTCTTATAAAATTTCCGGATGTGAAGGTGTCCCAAATTTTTCATTCGTTAAATTTGTGATAAATTCCGCCGTTGTTTTAATTCTCATCTTCGGTGTTTTAAATTGATGCTGTTTCGAGGTTTATTTATTTAAATGAGTTTGTTTCTATCCTGGAAAACTTAATTTCATCTATAAGTTTTACTCTTTATAAAATTTCCGGGTCTGAAGGTGTCCCAAGTTTTTGATTCGTTAAATTTGTGATAAATTCCGACGTTGTTTTAATTCTCATCTTCGGTGATTTATTTCGTCATCTCGAATAAATTGCGAATGACTCTCTTGCTGCTCTGAGTACGTGATTCTTAATGATGCAACGCTGCAAAAAATTGGCAGAAATCTCAATTCCGTGCCTGCAGTAGGCGTTTGATAGGCGTTGGATAATACTTGAATTTCAGCCAACTTTTTGGGATTACAACTGTCGACTCTCGTATGCGCAAAAGTGGTGATTACACAGTTTTTCTTTTCGTTTTTCAAGCTTCTCTTGCTTTTCGAATTTTTATGTGATGTAGCTGTAAGTGGGAACCCGGAAAGAAAAGGGGGGTGGGTTTCAAAGAATGCTGATGAAAAATGCCAGCGAAGCAACCAGGAATGCATTGTACTACAATAGGATGTTGACGCATTGGAATTCTCGGATGCCCTTATTTGAGGGCTGTGACTATCGAATTCATTACCAGCGAGTGGAGTACCCAGATTATTCAAATTAAGGCCAAAGGGCACCTGGGAAAAAAGGGGGCGGATATTTTTTATTTTTTGATGGTGCCCTAGGGGCTCGAGTCCGACGACGTTTGAATGACAACCTGTTTCTTGTGTCCCCCATGAATGACTTGAGAAATTCCTTTTGATGTCGCAAGTGTTGCGAAGTTTTGTACAGAAAATTAAAAATCAACGTCTGATGATTTTCGACCCTTCAATTTTTTTTATTGTTGAAGAATTGACCGAAGTGGAGTTTTCTTGAACCCCCACCTTTCACGAAAAATCGACAGTTTCAATGTTTATTGAGCTGGTGTTTGTCAGTTTATGCTGGGATGGTTCGGGAATTTTGTCAGTACCCGGGAACTAGGTCACTTGGGTACGCATTTTTATGAACTCGAATCCTATGGCTAGACTACTGTGAAAATAATTTGATGCGAGTTTCAGAGCTATTTTTATTTGCTAAAATGTTCGTTGTCAAGGGCGTATTCAGTGGGACCCCCGACTTACGGACGATTCGACTTGGGGACACGTAGAACTAAGAAAATCTGCCACGAAATCCGAACAATTTCTCAAGATACGGACAGTTCTCCAACGTTCTTCGAAAAATCGAAAAGCATTTTATTTTCTGAATTTTGATTTCTCTTGAATAAATCCAACTTTTTACATTCGAAAAATGTAGAAGTCAATTTCATGAAAAATTACATAAATTCATTATCAGAAGCAGGATGATGATGTGCTTATTTTTCCCAAGCTTTTTCATCGTGAGGTCTTTTTCTTTGATCTTTGAGTTCCTTCTGATGCCAAAAGAGCAGATTTCGTGCGATTATCTTCTTCACCATTATTTTATTCATCTCGAAATTGAGACAAAAATTCATTCGAATTTTTGGGAACTTCATTCCCAATTTTGTGACGAGAAGAAGAACCAATTGAATATTCTCCACTGAAGCAAAAAAAAAACAAGCTTGATTCGACGTTCGGACGCTCCGACATAGTGGCAAAATCCAAGCAAAGATAGCGTCCGCATCTCGGGGCGCCATGATACAGCACAGTATTTTATTTTGATGAAATTCCACGAAAACTGCGTGAGGAATTTTTTCGTAATTTTTGTTTGTTTGCCAGAAGAAGTTGTTCTCAGCTACACCGACAAAACCGGAAGTAGGGCGAGGAATAATTCCTGTGTCCGGTCGACACAATTTTGTCAGCAATTAAAATATATATGCTTTGAGACTCGCTCGCTACTATTTTCAAGCATTCATTTCCATCACCAAAAGAGCCCCCATGTGAGGACACTGTTTTATTCTCTCGTGTCTTGAATGTATTTTTTTAAAAACTTTATCACGCGTTTTTATTTTTTCTTCACAGAAATTGGGAAAGTGCGAGGGAACTTGTTTCAAATCAGCGAGTGCAAAAAGGAGCCGCTGAATTTGCCGGAGCCCGATGGTCCGATGATGACCTTGTCCGAGAAGGTTTACGTGCCGGTGAAAGAACACCCCGACGTGAGTTTTTGCACAATTCTTTTTGTTGTTGTTTCAAGTGCAGTATGATATTTTCTTTTGCATTTGCAGTTTTTCAAGCGTTATGTATTTCTTAATCTTCCGGCATGTTTTTTCTAATAAATCAAAGCCCCCATATCGACGTGGAGAAGCTTTTTGAAAATATTTTCTTTGGAAGTGGGTCTTGTGGAAAAATCGTGTTCTCGCGATGGATTTGCGGCCCCGAAATGTCGGAGAATTTCACGTTTATTTGTAGCTACTGTTCATTAATATTTAGAAGGTGAAATAAAATACATCAGCGAAACGAAATAATTTCTGAAAATAATCGATTTTTTGTGTCCGGAAATTTGCGCAGATTTTTCGAAAATTATGCTTTGAAAGTTGAAAAAAAATTTTAAAGACTAAACGTGTGGGACGAGGTGCGAAAATGGATTCATACTGTACGAGAATGGCTCAGTCAAATCATGTGAATATGGACAATTAAAAATTGGATTTTTTTTAAAGGCAAGAAATATGAATCGATGCAAAAGTCCTGAAAATTTGCTTGAAATCGATCAACAAAGGTGAATCAATAATGTTAATGCTGCGGTTAAAAAAAAATTCGTATTACGAAAGATATGCACAGGTGTTCATGAGACACACTTTAAAATTAGCGAGCCCTTCGATTCTGCCTGGAGGCAATTTTTGCGAGTAATGATGCGTATCTTGATTTTTTATTTATTTATTCCTGGATGGTCTCTCTAAAAAAAATTAATCAAAGCGGAAAATTCTGAGGACCGTTGCGAATTAAGAGTTTTACGCAACTTCTTTCCCTCGATTATTCTTGAATCATCTGAGTGATTTTTGCAATTGGGGATTTGTCAAAAATGTCAACGACTGATGAAAGTCATGTGGTGAATAATGATTCCATCGGAGATATGAGGGTTTGTTTTGAAAGTTCTTCCTATTGCTCAGATTCAAATGATCCCTCATAGGTTTTTGTGTCAAAATTTGCGGTAAACCAAATAACGTTGGGAATTTTCGTATCAAAATTCGTGACACGGCTTGATTGATTCATGTGTGGACAGTTTTTCTCGCATTTTGTTTTGGTCGTGTTGAAACTTTTTATATCCTGTAATTTTTCGATCGTTTTTTTTTTTCGAAGCACGTAAAAGTCGTTTTTTGAAAGTGTTCTTATTTTTTTGGTTGGAATTTTCTTGAGAGAATGCCTGAGATGCTTTCGTTGCATCCGTTCGCAAAGCGTAAATGCGGGTTTTTATTCGGCTCGAAGCGGGCCAAGAATTTCCGGAAGAATCTTGTGCTTCCCTGGTACATCGTTCCCAGATGTCGAGGGAAATGCTGAAGGAAAATTATTCGTAAAGTGATATTAAAAATATATATATAAAACGAAGCCGGAAGAGGTTTTGTTGAAGATGGGTTGGTTGAGAAAGAAACAGTCATGCATCTGGCGAATTTTTAGTCTCCACATTCTGTCATATTGTTTTGATTGAAACGTGGATTTTACGGTTCATATGCTTCAACTTTCGGTTTGACCCATTTCTGCCGGAACGACGGAGAACCGTGCCATTTAACGACATATTTTGTGCCAAAAATTTTTCGTTTGCGAACCATCCCTTGCATTGAAAGGCTTAAACAATTTCTGCAAAATTCAAATAGAGAAGGAAGGAACACTCGTGAAAAACAAAAAAAAATTATTTGCAAATCTTTCAAATCAGCGGGCGAAGTAGCCTCTGAAAAAAATTGACGACTTACGAACTGGCATCATTTGAAAAAAAATTGCAGAAGTGTTCAATTTTTAAAATTACATATCAGTTATTTCGATGTACAAAATCCTGAAAATTTCATAAAGCTGCCCGAAACAAATATAATTTGATCTAACTTGAATCAGTTTAGGTTAACCTGATGCTTCAATTTAAAATGCACACATGAACAGCCGATTTCCGGGAATAATTGTCGTCGCAAGTTGAGAATTTACCTGTTTAAAAATTGTAGACTTCGTTGTGTGAATTCACTTTAAATTTTTGTGCTCGTTTCAAATTTTGTTAATCACTCCACCTTTTTATTTTACTTGTTTTTAAATGTTTGCATTCGTGGCTGCTCGTGAGACCCGAAAAAAATCCATGAAAAAATGTGGAGAGTGCCCAAGTGAAAAAAAAAATTGAGTGAAATTGCGTTGTCCTGTAAATTGCAATATAGTGTTGTGACAGGACAGTAGAGTACCAGGAAGTGTGTTCTCACCATGATCCCGAAGAACTTTCAATGCAGATCACGTCGTTGAATTTTTTTGTTCCTCTTTTCCTTTTGAAATGAAAGAGAAAAACATCACATGTTTTCATCAAAGAGCCAAAGAAGATGCGTCTTTTTCTTCTCCGGAGGTTTTTTTTTATTCTATTTTCTGCCAGGGGGTAAACAAGACGCAAGTTGAGTGAAAGTTCGAACGCGGTTGTTTTCTCGTACAGATGTGGGAATTCTATTTGCTTGTTCCTTGCCAGATTCGGTCCTAAGAAGATAAATAAAACACTGGGAGAATAAAGAAGAGCCAAAACAAAAATGAAAAACTGAAAAGCCCCGTCTTGGCACTTGGGTCCATCTTTATCTTAGTATTCTTCGCCACGCGTTGTGATGTCGAACATGGCCGGGGTTGATTGAAAAGTTTTGTAGGTTGCATGCGTTTTTTTTGTTTAAATTTTTTTTTGGTCTAGAGACACGCAGCAGTCAATCAAGTCGCAGAAAGAAAGATACAGTATTCTAAGCTCGGATTTTATTATTATTTTTTCTAAGTGCTATCAAAGGGTTCAAGTGAGACTTTCTAGCTTCCTCTGCGAGCGATTCCATTTTTCAATGAATAATTTTGGTCTAGATTTAAATTTTTTGGCAACATGACTAATTCATCGAGAGAGGAAAAAATAAATATTTCCGTAGAACCTGACAGATTCCAAGTGTAAAATTGTGAACATTCTTGAATTTCGAACACGTCAGCGTACTTTACGATTTTTTTTTCGTTGGTCATTCAATGGTTAAATTCATTATTCAGCACGAAATAATACGGAATAAAATTGCAGGAATGTGCATATTTCGTCATAGTACGAATTTCGGAAGGAGAAGAAATTTGCAGAACTAATTGTGATTGTTTTTAAGGTCACCAGTTCTGCAGTTTTGTGCGAATTAAACAATACTTTCCATATACTGTACAGTAGACACTTTTTTGTTTACAATTCAAAGCCTGAATCAAAATTTTCATGATGACTGAGAGGAGAATATTCGGGGATTATGTGATGAACTCTCCTGCTCTTCTACAATAACTGAATATTATTACATTTTGAGCAGGAAACACTAGAACGGAGAATTGCAGAAGTGTGAAAATGTTGTCATCGTACACATTTGAAGGTGAGGGAATTGGCTGAACTAATTGTGAAGTTTACGAGGTATCGATTTCTACAGTTTTATGCTAATTAAAACGTAGTAATATTATTTCAAAGACATTGTTTGCTTACTAATCGAGGGCTTAATACATTTTTATGATAGTTTTTTATGATAGTGATAGTGACTCTTTTACAATTATTAAAATTTCAAGAGGAAACAACATAACCTAAAATTTCAGAAATGTGAGCATGTTGTCATCGTACGAATTTCAGAAGGTACATGCAAGGGAATTTGAAGAACTGATCGCGAATTTTTCAAAGGCTCTTTTGCTGCAGTTTAATCCCAATTGAAACATAACTTTTCATGCAGGGACCATTTTTTCACGATTCTAGCATTTCTAGGACATGATCGAATTTTTATGATTGCGTTTGAGGGGGAAATATTCGGGA